CGTATTGCGAGGGAACGCAAACGTATTGCGAGGGAACGCAAAGATATTGCGTGGGAACGCAAAAGAAAAAAAATCCCCCCGTGTCCCCTCGTGGGCTCCGTAATTCATAACCACTTGGTGGGTGGAGAAAATGTTGGACCAATGCAATAAGAAAATTATGTTTAAAATTCTTTAACTTTTTTTTTTATGTTTTTATTATATATTTGCAGCCCTATTGAAAAGAGAAAGACAAATTCAAGTGTGACTTTATTTACTATATCTGATTATTTCTGAACAAATGTTTTTTCTTACACCAAAAAAAGCCAAAAATCTATAACAAAGAAACATTAAAGATCTATTATGCCCCAAATAAACCAACATGTGGTAAGGAAATGTCCCATCGGTCCAAGTTTCAGGCAATTAATGCCAGCAAAAAATAAAATTCTGACAACCAACATGATAATGAATAGCCTTAACTTCTCCTTCTGAGGAAAAAAATACTTATGATCAAACAAAAAAAATGTCTCCTGCTCCAATGCTGCGCTTCAAACAAAACAATAGCCTTTGCTTTGTGGAGTGATAAGAGAAAGCAGAAAAGCAGCCAGGCCAAACATCAGTTTTCTGTCACTTTAGACAGCTGGGTCTCAGATGACAAAACAAACAGCAACTTTCAGCAAAAACACACAGAAGTGACCCAGTGCAACACGTCTGCCGCTGATAGGAAGCAACTTTGAAGGACAGCTTGTAGAAGTAGAATTACATTTAAATAAAAGCTGAGAAAGTCACAAAGAAAACAAATAATGCCAACTTTTTCAGTTCTGATCGGGGAGGTGAGAGGAGTAACAGCTGTTCTTACCTAAGTGCTGAGGGCTGCAAGGCTGCTGGAACGACGCCTCTCCGTCTCGGTGAATCTACAGAGGAACAGGAAGACACTGAATCAGTCTCTCCAACATGTGATCGTCAACCACAAAGAAATAATGATGCAGAGCAACGTGTCTGTTAGGAAGTGCTGCTTCTGTGTACAGGATGGGAGGCAACAACAGGACTACCTTTGTAATGTCGGGATTTAGCTCATACTCTAAGGCTCTTTCTTGCTCACAGAGGAACTTCCCTGCAAAGACCTAACTTTGCTTTCCACTCAGACTTCAGCAGTACAGTCACGCACACACACATGCACACACAAACACGCCAACTCAAACACGCAGCTTGTCGGAGATCTGTGGTTGGTTGTGAACACACAGAAATGAGGCTTTGCTTCCTCTGTGGTCTGAATGTCTATCCAGCAGCTGTGTGTGTGTGTGTGTGTGTGTGTGTGTGTGTGTGTGTGTGTGTGTGTGTGTGTGTGTGTGTGT